ATGTCTATCGTTGGTTAAAGCTAGCATGTGGAGATTGTACATGCCGCCCCCAATGCTGAACCCAGCATGGTAACCCGAAACGACGTAAGCAGGCAGCCTCCATTAACCATTGATTGAAGATCCGAGGTAATTAGAGGTAAAATAGAAGGTTAACCTTTAACTAACGAGGTGGTGGTAAATTTTACCCTCTCTTTACATTTTTTTTAAATTCTCTCTTCCATTGCGCTCAATCAATTTAATTCTCTTGGTATCTGCATATTGTCATCTCCATCATTAGTGCCATCACAATCAGCTGTCATCCCGGTGATGATTGCCATCGCTATTTCGAGCATCTTTTGACTTACTTATGTTCATTCATTCATTCATTGTTAGTTTTTCTGAGAAGTCGTTTTTGGCTACAATTGGTTACAAGCAAAACGCCAATTATAAACTCTGTATAATTATTTAAAGTATATTTATTAAATTAATAAATAAACAACGGTCATCTTGTTAAAATCTGTCTTTGAGTGACAGATTATCAGAAGTGGTCATGAACCTAAACGACCTCACTGTAATGCAGCTGAAAAGTGTACTGCAAAAGTTGGAGCAAAAGACGAGCGGAAACAAGGCGGAGCTAATTAGCAGATTACAGCAACTGGACGAGGAGGTGGTAAGCAAAAATATCGAGGAAGAAATGACGACGCTAGGAGCTGCCCCCAGCGATGGTGCTGGTCAAGAAAGGAGCGATGCATCAGCGAGTAACGATTCGGAAGTCAGGAAGCAGTTGGAGGAACAGGTGAGTTGCCTGAGTGGTGCCGTAGAGCTATTGACGGCACAGCTGCAGACTCTTCGTTCATCGATGCCGAACGCTCTGGTGACCACGATGGGCATGCAAAGTAGTTTTGGGCAGAGCAGTTCGTCGTCGCGAGATACTTTATCGTTCAAGCAGTCAAACATACAGCAAGCAGACACGCAGTTGCTGTCGGGTACATCACTTGCCGCATCGTCGTATGGACAGTTGAATGCTATGACGTAAGCGCAGGCGCCGCCAACGTTTCCATTCCCTACAACGACTTGGTTAAACAATACAGCTTATGGTTCACAGCCGATTTCAACGCAAATATGTGCGCCGCCGTCGACGCAAACGCAATGGTCAACGTTTCCAGTCTCTACAACGCCTTGGCTAAACAATACAGCTTATGGTTCACAGCCGATTTTAACGCAAATATGTGCGCCGCCGTCGACGCAAACGCAGTGGCCAACGTTCTCATCGACGCAAGCGAACGTGCCACTTTATACGCAGCAGCAGACAACTCAAATGAATGCCACGTCATCATCACCGAGCAATGTAGAACCCATGCAAAGGAAAGTGTTCGGGTCGCAGCCGAATGATTTCACAACAAACATTCATCCAGTGTCGTTGCAAGAGACAATGTACGTGAGAGCAAGATACACACCGGGTGAAGTAGCAGCAGTATTGCCAGAGTTTAATCCATGTGACAATGCATACTCATCAATTCAGTTTATAGAAAGAATTGAGCAGCTGAGAAATTTATATCGTTGGGAGGATACCCTGCTCACTTTCGCTGTCCTCAGTAAGCTTAAAGGGGTTGCTAAACAGTGGGCAGATGCGCAGCCAGTGTTTAAAGAATGGACTGAATTTGTAAGTCAGTTTTTAACAGATTTCCCTTACGTTAAAAATTCAGCTGATGCTCACATTCGGTTAATGAATACTAAGATGGGTAAAGGTGAGAGTGTTGTTGAATTTTACTATAAAATATTAGCGATGGGGCGAAGAGAGTTCATTGAAGATTGTGCGATAAATCGGTATATAATAAATGGGTTGAATGATGAGGGATTGCGAAAAACGTTGAGCGCAATGCATTTCTCGAAATGTGCTGATTTGTTGCAGTCGTTGATTAATATACACGGGAGCAATACGAATCAATGTAAACAAAATGAATTTTTAAAGAAAGTTGAAAGACCAGTGGTGCAAAATAGCAACACGAATGATGTAAAATATAACGCAACTGGTCCTATTTGCTTTAATTGCAGAGAAAGGGGGCACATTTCGAGGGATTGCAGTAAGCCACGTAAAATAACTGAATTCAAGCAGCGCGAGAGAACAAATCAAATTAGTAATGTGTCTGAGGGTGAAGTAGAGGAAGCTGACACACTAGTGAACAAAGTTTCTACGCGAAGTGTGTGCAAAGAGCTTTGTAAAGGTATAACTTTAATCGGCAAGAACGAAATACAGTGTAATGCGCTTATTGATTCTGGCAGTTGCAGGTCGTTGATCAAACGATCAATTGCACTACGAATTGGGGAAAGTTTTGACGCTTGCGAGGAGAAGTTGTTTGGATTTGCGGGTGGGGAAACCGTTTGTCGTGAAAAGTTAATAACAAAACTTAAGATTGATGAAGTGACAAGATTCGTTGAAATGTTAGTCGTGGATGATGCAGCAATGGCATACGAAGCAATTGTAGGAATCGATTTGTTGTCTAAAGGCAAGGTTATCATTGAGGGTAATTCGTGTAAGGTAATGAGGATTGGTGGCGAAGCGCTGGACATGGGCAATAATCTACCGCTAAGTGTCCAAGAGGGTCTTATTGATTTGATTAATTCTTACGCAGATTGTTTTGGGGAAAGGCTTCCTGAGTTAGGTAAATCAAAACGTTTTAAAATGGAAATAAAGGTCACTTCCGGTAAGCCAATTGCAAAGAAACCGTATAATATACCTATCCCGAAGCAACGCATTGTGGAGGAGATAGTTGATGAGCTGCTACAATTGGGAATAATACGAAAGTCTGATTCACTGTATGCATCACCCATTGTTTTGGTGCGTAAACAGAACGGAGAAGAGAGGTTATGTGTTGACTTCCGCGAGCTCAACGCTGTTACAGAAAAGCAACCGTGGTTGATGCCTACAGTGGATGGAGTATTAGCTACGCTTTCGGGGAAAAAGTTTTTCACCACTTTAGATCTTATGTCGGGTTATTATCAAATCGAGTTGGGGGAGGAGGCTAAACCGTTGACAGCGTTTGTAACTCACAATGGGCATTTTGAATTTAATAGAATGCCATTTGGATTGCGTACCGCTCCGTGCACTTTCCAGCGTATGATGACGCAGTTAGTTGCCCCGTTAAGTAAATTTGTTGTGAGCTACGTAGATGAGGTAATAATAGCGACACATACCGTGGAAGAAAATTTGTACTATCTCGAAAAGTTTTTGAAAATTATTCGTGACGAGGGGTTAACTTTGAGAATTTCGAAATGCACGTTTATGAGAAGTCATGTTACCTTCTTAGGGCATGAGGTAGGTGCAGATGGCATAACGCCAGGGGATCGGAAAACCGAAGCAATAAAGGGGTATCCGAAGCCGAGTACTCAGCTGGAAGTTAGACGTTTTTTAGGTTTAACCGGATTTTTCACTAAGTTTGTACCTGGCTACGCATTGATTGCTAAACCGTTGACGCAACTTACGAAGAAGGGCGCAGAGTTTGTTTGGGGTAAGGAGTGTGAAGGTGCTTTTAAGCATTTGATAAAGGCTATTAGTGAGGCGCCAGTGCTCACAATATACGACGTTGCTAGAAACCACGAAATTCATACGGACGCGTCTAGCATGGGAATTGCTGCTATTCTTCTGCAAGTGGAGGCTGGGAATGGGTTAAAACCGGTCGCGTATT